AACAAAACTATAGTAGGGGACCTAAATATATCATTGACAGCTACGGATAGATCATCCAAACAAAAAATAAATAAGGAAATATCAGCCCTAACTGACACATTAGATGAAATGGACATTATTGACATGTATAGAGCAATTTATCCTAGAACATCAGGCTATACATTGTTTTCCAGTGTACATGGAACATTCTCAAGGATAAACCATATATTGGAACATATGTATATTTTCATTGGAAAGAATCAGGTTATATTGCAGCTCTGGGAAATGTTCTATTGCTTCTTTGATACTTTTTCTTCAATATTCTTTCTGATCTATCCTTCTGGGAACTATATTAGAGTCAGTCAGATGTTGGCAACACTTCTGGATATAGCCTACATGTCTCCTTTAGGGCTCTATATATCTTTATAGATGTTTTAGTTTCTTTTTTCTTTGAACCTAAATTCTGAAAATCTCTCAGTTGAACATTCTAGCATAGTAGTTGAACCTTCAGGTGTATTCATTCAAATATTCATCCAGAAAGAATACTTCAATTGGAAACTAGGAAGTAAAATGTCTAAATTAGTTATTTTCATGTCCAGGCCATCTAGAATGGCAAATTTATTTACTTTTTAAATTAAATTTATTGTGGTGAAATTGGTTAATCACATTATATAAATTCTAGGTGTACAACTTTATAATATGACATCTGTGTACTCTATTGCATGTTCACCACCCAAATCCTAGTCTCCTTCCATCACCATGTACTTAACCCCCTTTACCCTTTTCATCTTCACCCCATCCAACTTCTCCTCTGATAACCACCATTCTAGTGTCTCTATCTATAAGTTTATATTTTAGTTTATTTGTTTCATTTATTCATTTGCTGCTTTTTGTTTTATATCCCACAGAGTGAAATCATACAGTTCTTCAGCTACTCTATCCATCTTATTTCACTTAACATAGTACTCCCAAGACCCGTCCCTATTGTCACAAATGGCAATATTTCATCTTTTTATGGCTCAGTAGTATTCCACTGAGTGTATGTACTGTATCTTCTTTATACAGTCATTCATCAAAGGACACCTAGATTGTCTCCATATCTCCATAATGCTGCAATGAACATAGGGGTACATATATCGTTATGAATAATTGCTCTCAAATGTTTCAGGTGGATGTCCAGAAGAGGGATTGCTAGGTCATATGCTAATTTCTCACAGTGTCTGCACAAATTAACATTCCCACCAGCAGTGTGCAAGTGTTCCCTTTTCTCCATATCCTCTCCAATATTTGTTATTTCTTGTCTTATTGATAATGGCCATTCTAACAAGTATGCTTTTGATTTGCATTTCACTTGTAACTAGTGATGTTGAGAATGTTTTAATATATTTGTTAGCCATCTTTCTGTCCTCCTTGAAAAAGTGTCTATTCAGGTCCTCTGCCCATTTTGTAATCAGATTGTTTGGATTTATTTCGTCCTTGAGTTGTATGAGTTCTTTATATACTTTGGATATTAGCCACTTTTGGAAGGTATCATTTGCAAATATCTTCTCTCATTTGGTTGCTTGCCTTTTTGTTTTGCTGATGGTTTCTTTTGCTGTGCAGAAACTTTTTTAGTTTGATGTACTTTCATTTATTTATTTATTTATTTATTTATTTATTTATTTATTTATTTATTTTACTTCCTTGCCTTTGAGGTCAAGTTAACAAAAATCCCTGTGAGACAAAGGTTCATAATTTAGTGCCTATGTTTTCTTTTATGTATTTTATTATTTCAGATTTTATATTTAAGTCTTTAATCCATTGGAGGTAATTTTCATGTATCACTCTTTTGTATGTAGCTTTTCATTTTTCCCAACACTATTTATTAAATAGACATTACTTTCTCCATTGTGTGTTTTTGGCTCTTTTGTCAAAAATTAGTTGGCTTAATGAACCAATTTGGTACACCAAACACTACATTAATAATTAAAAAGTAAAAATCATAAATCATATCAATAGATGCAGAAAAAGCATTTGACAGGACACAACTTCCATTTATGATCAAAACACTCAATAAAATGTTATAGAAGGAAAGTACCTCAAAAAAATAAAGGCCAAATATGACAGACCCTCAGATAATATCATACTTAGTGGTGAAAAATAGAAAGCTTTTCATCTCTAAGATCAGAAACAGAAGAAGGATGCCTACTCTCAACACTGTTATTCAACGTAGTACTGGAAGTCCAAGCCAGGAAAATCAGATAAGGAAATGAAATAAAAGGTGTCCCAATTAGGAACAAAGAAGTAAAACTTTCACTATTTGCAGATGACATGGTTTTATATATGTAAAAATCCTAGAGACTCTACCAAAAGGCTATTCTTTATAAGAATAAATAAGTACAGTAAAGTTACAGGAGGCAAATATATTTTTAACACTCCCACAATTTCTTCACTAAAAATGTCTCCTTAGAATAGTCTTTTTTCAAAATATGACTGACCACTTGGCAGCATTTATAAATGAAATTTGAAGAATTTTTAAAATGGTAGTTTCTGAACAATAACTTACACCTTGCATCACAGAATCTCTGTGAGTGAGACTGGAAATCCACACTTTTTTTTTTAATTTTCTTTTTTTTAAGATTTTTATTAAAAATATAGCTAACATACAATGTTATAATTTCAGGTATATACCTTATTTATTCAACATTTGTATACCTAAGAAAGTGAGCACCATGATAAGTCCAGCAACCATCTGACACCATACAATGTTATCACAATATTACTGAATATATTTCCTATACTAATCATCCTCATGACTTATTTGTTTTATACATGGAAATTTTAACTTCTAATTCCCCTTCACCTTTACCCTCCTTTTTAAATTTTTCAATTACAGTTGACATTGAATATTATTTTATATTAATTTCAGGTGTGCAGCATAGTTGTTAGACTTTTATATAATTTAAGAAGTGACCCCCCTGACTAGTCAAGTACCCACCTGGCACTATGTACATAACTATTACCATATTATTGACTGTATTTCCTATGCTTTACTTTATATCCCCCTGACTATTTTGTTTTTTAAAATCCACACTTTTAAGATGTTCTCAGATGGTAATGATGTAAAATGCAGATTGAGGACAAACACTTGGAAATACTAACTGATCTTTTGAACTCTAAATTGGCTTAAAAGCAACTCTAATTCAATCAGGCAGAGGAGTGAGAACATTAACATTCAAACATCTCCATGAATTTGTTGCAATTTTGCCTTTCTTTGAATAGATCCCTGCCTGCTTTTAATCTATCTCCATAACTTGGCAATCGATTCCATGCTTTTAAACTGGGTTATTGGAGGATTCTTATTATGTTTTGGTGATGACATGTTTCCTGCATTTTTTATGACCCTGTAGTATTACATTGTTGCCTTTGCATTTGAAGTAGCAGACACCACCTTAAATCCTTACTAGTTGCTCCCAGATGGGCTATTCTGTTTATTGGTGCTGTTATATCTGGCTTTATCTGCCTTTCTGTGGGTACAGCTGCTTCAACTTCTTGATCTCTCTTATGGCAGAGTTCTTAAGATTTTATGTCCTCTATAGATCTTACAACTCACCAGTCTGGCTACTGGAAATTTCTCTTTTGTTTTCCAGAAGGTGGCGCTATAGCTCAAGTGTGTGCTTTCTCCCCTGCACACATATCCTAGTGTGTTTTCTGATAGCAATACATTTACCATACAAGCTTTCATTGCTGACTTGGGAGCATCCACAAGGAGCCAGCCGCAGGGTGGGTGGAGTTATGGGTCTAGCACTCAGGGTATAGGGGATGCCTGCAGACTCGATGGGGAGATTTTCAGGTGAGTTTCTCTCAGAGGGTTATGGGAAGACTTCCTGCTAAAGTCCTGAACAGGGTCAGCGGGAACCTTGTTTCTTTAACACCCTTTGAAATTCCTATCCACCTCTTTCTTATCTCTTCCCTCTCCACAGTCAAGGAGGCCATGCTATAATACTCTGGGTGCTGCTAGAAAGCAACGTTTTTCTACCAATGCCCAACACAACTGGGACAGCTAGGCAATGACTCACCACTTTCCGTTGCTCCCACTGGAAATCTCACCACCACCAGGTAGTTTAGCCCATGCAATGTCACCAAACTCATGCTGGACTCTCCCTTTGGGAAGACTAGACTTCTGCAAATTCTCTCTCATCTGTGGGTATCTGTCCAGGTCAGCACTCTAAAGGTTTTTTTCCCCTAACCGTTGCAAGACAGTTGGCACAGGTTTGCTTGGTCTGCTGCTTCCACAGCCCATACTGAGGTCTTGGGCCTATTACCAGATACAGGTGGGCGAGATTCCTTTCACATTCCTTGGCATATAGTGCTAGATCTCACAATTCCCACAGGGGCACTTTTGTTTGTGGATATATGTCTGATTAGTTGTTTTTAAAAGAGGATAAAAAAGGGGAAGGTCTGCCACCATGATGCTGACATCTAGAAGTTCATTTTAAAGGACCGGAAAGTAAATAAATATCACAAAACGGCCTAAGAAGGAGTTACAGAGAGATAGGATGAAAACTACAATATTCAACACTGGTTTGACAGAAACTAACTGAGGAGTGATAATTGTTGCTACAACACTGCTTTTAGAATAAACATCAAACTATCAACTCATGTATAGTTTCAAATATCAGTCCTCAGAATAATGCTCTTCATCAATTGATTCTGTGTAATAAGTAGTGTAAAAACCCAGGCTCTTAAGTTGAAACTCACCATGGCAACTAAAAAGGCAGCCCTTGTTCAGAATACCCATAAAGATGTCTCACACACACACACACACACACACACACACACACACACTCACACTCTCACACACACACACACACACACAGTTTTTAAAAAACTGTGTTAAAATATATTTGTTACAGCAATGAAAAGAGGGGATGAGAAAGCCTTAATGACTTGTGTCTTCAGTACACTCACCCTGTTGGCCATGTGGCTGACACTACATAAGGGCATGACATAGGCTAACTAAGTATCTTTTCATTCCACAGCCATGAACACAGCAAAATCCACCGCTGATGAGCCCCTTCTCAGAGGCAAAAAAAGGCAAGATCTCCAAGAGATGCTGAGAGAAGTAGGACTGGCAGTTGAGTACTGGGTGCCCAAGTTGCAGGAACATCTGGGTGTGACCTGTGTCCAGGCCTTACAACACCTAAAAGACAAAGACCTCCAGCAGGTGAAATCCCAGGCACAGTATCCCTGGGAGAAAAGGGCCCTGGAGAAGCTGTTACAGGAGTCTCAGGAGGAAAGGATAAAAAAAACGCAAGACAAGGCAGAAGAGATGGTACAGAAGCTAAAACCCTTGATGCCAGGAGGCAGGCAACAACAAGAAGAGGCAGTGAGGAAAAGAGAGGCAGAGCTGAGGCAGGCGATGGAGATCCCCAAAGAATACCAGCCACCTCCTCAAAAGCCCCTAAGAGAAATCATAGGAAATGTGCAGAGACAACTCAACCTCACGGAGGGGACACTGTCTCACAGGCAAAACCTCCCAGATAGAGATCTGGTGAGATGGGCATCTGGAGGGCTGGCGCTGCAAGGAATTTACAAAACCAGCGACCAAAGGGACCTAATAGAGAAGAGGCAGGAGCTACTTTGTGTCCCTAAGGACTTCTTACTCTATGGCCCTGCGCAGGGCACACGAATGGAAACAAAGGATTTTACATCTTCTCAAGCAGAAGCTATGTTCACCCAGGCAATGGAGAAGCTGGGCTTCAGCGTAACTGCTTCAGCCAAGGGTGGAGGTTGGGGATTTAGCTTGGAAACTGGTACGGGTCACAGCAAACATTCAGAATCCAAGGAAACCCATCAATCACATTCTGAACAGTCTTATTTCTGCTCTACCAAGTTCAGCTATGTCCCACTCGCCTCCTGTCACTTTCCCTTTGATCAGCTCCAGCTCTCCAAGGCTGCTCTCCAGGAATTGAAATGCTTTGAAGACCTTCTGGCTCAGCCTGCAGGCCTAGATGAACTCCCCTTGCTAAGGCACAAGACTGAAGCTTTCTTCCAGAGGTTTGGCTCTCATGCAAATCAAGGCCCTTTGCACCTGGGAGGAATCTACTGGTGGAAAGCCATTTCAGAGGGTTTCCAAAGTGAGCAGCTGGCAGAGGTGAAACAGCAGTCAGCAAAGTCCCTGAATATTTACATAAGTGGCTGTGGAGTGAAAGTAGCTGCAGGTGTGGATGTGTCAGACTCTCATTCAAATGCATCCTCCCAAAGGACAACCTCCCAGAATCTCCAAACCACAGTCCAACTATCTGTGGCCCACACCGGGGGCCCACCAGAAGCAAATGGATTTCTCCAGTGGAAAGATGGCTTAGTTGCCAGTAATCAAACCTGGTGTGTCATTGACCGGGGACTTCAGCTGGTGCCCATTTGGGACATCATTGTCTCCAACCACAGAAGTGATTTTAAAGATGCTCTTCAGGTAGCTAACTTGCTGAAAGATAGCTACACTGCTCTGACTAGTCGCACTGCCCAGATCCAATATGCAGAAGAATTGTTGAGTGTTGAAAAGGAGACTAGGGTTTTCCTAGAGGATGTGAAATCCTGGGAGGTATCTGATTCAGAAGAGCAGCTTAAAAAGCTGATACATTTCATGCAAATGTTGAGCCAAAAAATTAAAGGCTATGACACTTGGGTTCACATATGCCTCACAGATTGGGGTCTGCAGAATTTTCTGATAAACACTGTTAACTTTTGCAAGAAGTCTTCCTTTTATAAAACCAAATTTATTAAATCTCAGTTGCGCAGCCTTTTGGATCCTCACATCTACAGAGTAACAAACTTTCCTCAGGCTCATTCCATCATGCAGTGGATCTTCCTGTCAGAGTCACAACGAGAGCACATCAACATCTCTGAGTTTTCTGAATTAATAAAAATCTTAAAGGAAGCCCAGAATGACCTCAGGGAAGTGAAGGCCAAATCTAAATCTGCAGAAACAGTAGATGAAGCTCAAAGAAAGGCCACTTATGAGGTGAGCTTGTCTCTTGCCTGCTTCTTGAATTTCCTCCAAGAAACAGAGCAGCCAGACACACAGCTCTTGCTACTTAACATTGCAACTGCTGCAGGATATGATGTGGTAAACAATGCCTTTCAGTGTCTCCTGGGGTGTGAGGAGATAGACTTCCTACTGAATGAAATGCAAACTGCCCAAGATAAATACCAGGAGCTCAAAACTATTTGCACCTACAGGGCTCAGGCATTCCTGGTACTCACAGGTCTCACAGCTACTGTTGGAGTCACAGCTGTGTCTCCAGAGGAGAAAACACAGCGCTTGGCATTAATAAGACACCACATGGGCCAAACTTTGTCTAAAGAAGTTCTACATGTCCTCACCAAACTTGGGGCTGATCATGGTTGGAAAAACCTAGAGAAAGACTTGCAATTGCTCATTGATGGTAATTATGAAGCCACCATCTCTTCACTGCAAATGGAGGAGGTGAGAAAAAATTTACAAAGTATCTTCCATGATAAGAAACAGCCCCATGAACCACATGATAATGAAAATACCAAATGGGAAGTCATAGAAGATGGAGCCTTCCAAGAACTACTCCAGCGTTTAGGCCTAGAACATTACTACCCAAAAAGAATGAGCAGAGCTAACTTCCACCTGATCTACAAGCGTTCTGTGTATAAGTACAACTGCAAGCCAAGTTCTGAACGGGAGCTTCCCTTCTATTTCCTTCAGAAGCTACTGATGCTGGATTATGGGCTGAGATACCTCGTCTTCAGAGACGACGGAAACACACAGAATCAAGTCTATCCAAGTGCTTTGAATCAGAAAAATGAGGTGCTTGATCCATATGAAGACTTGTTTGAAGACCCTGATGCTCCCACTAATCCTTCAGCCACTAATCCTAGGCCCCATATTCATCCGATGGATATTCAGATGGCGATTCTTCACTGTGCAGACGATTTTGCCAGACAATATATTTTGGCCAAACTTGCCATTTGTCAGTTTGCCCTCCCCTTGCTCATACCTAATCCCTGCAGTTCTGAAATTGAATTCTGTCTCTGGTCTCTCCGTCAAATTAGAAGAAGCTGGCAGGAAGCAAGGAAATCACCAAAAGAGGAGAAGAAGAATTATAAGAATAAGCAGATGTGTCGTGTCTCAACCCCCATCGTGTCCTTTATTAGAGTTGGAAATGGCTTCTCTGCTTCCAAATCCCAGATCATGAACTGTCTCCTCAGTAAACATAAACATGATATCTTTTTTCACCGACATTGCAGAGGGAACAGCAAAGACTGTCTCCTGATGGGGGGTGTGGTGGAAGTCAGCTGGTTCTGTCCCAGGGGGGAAGATGAGGACAGATTTGACACCTGCTTGACCTTCACCAATCTTCATGGAGATGCCAAAGAACATGAGAAGCAACTCACCTTCTTGCAGGAGGTCTCTTCTCTCATTGTTGTCCTCATGTCAACTTCAGATGACAACAAAGAAAACCGAAAAATTGTTCGTGACCTGAATCAGTCACCAAGACCTCTGATCTGCTTGCTTGAAAACAAAAAAAAAACCATGGCCAATAACTCTAACCAGAAAGTGATCATTGGGATCAGGAACAAAAATGAGGCAGAATTAACAGAGGAGCTCGCTGCTACAATCAGACGTTTGCTAGAGCTCTCAGACACTGCTCTGAGCATAGAGGACTGTTCCCAGATTGCTCACAAGCAAGGATTCTTTATTGATGAAGACAAGAGAGAGTGCAAGGAAGCCAAAGAAAAGGCAGAGATCCTAATAGCCCTACTGAAAGAAATGAGGATATCCCAGGTGAAGGAAAACTTACTACCCCTTCAGGGACAACTGTGGCATCTTTGGTGTAAAAAGGACAAAGAACTCTATCACCTGAGAGAAAAGGGGAATCGGAGCATTGAACAACACAAGTGTGAGATTGAGACAGAAAAACAGAGACTACGTCGCCAACAGTTGATCAGAGCCTTTCCTCTCAATGATTTAATGAATCCTGTACTTCAAATTCTCCAAACGCATTCAGAAAGTCACACCACACTCTACTTTTTGCAATGGCTGAGTATGTTTTTAGACAACCTGACTGCAGGACACTTGGAAAAACTGAATGAAGAGAAAAAACTTGTGTGGTCACTGATACAAACAGAAAAGCAAAAGGCACCAAATAGCAACAACCTGAAAGTTTGGCAAAATAAGATAGAAACTATCTCCATAAAGATTAGTGACTGTACCTTGGGAATTGAGCAACTGCTCAGAGAAGTTGGCCAGATCTATGAAGCTCTAGAAGAAACTTCTTCCACAAAAGACACCCTTTTTCTCTCCCTTCCCCAGATTGCTGCAGATCTCATGATATCTGGTGTGCCCATTGAGCTGATGGATGGGGATGCTTCATATGTGCCTCTAAAGTGGGTGACAGCTCTTTTTGACAAGCTCTCTGAGAAACTTGGAAACAAACGGCTGTTTGTTCTTTCCATCCTTGGCCTGCAGGGCTCAGGGAAGTCCACCCTGCTGAATGCACTTTTTGGGCTGCAGCTCACAGTCAGTGCTGGAGGGTGTACGCGGGGGGCCTACATGCAGCTCCTGAAGGTGGAGGAGGCATTCTCCGAGGAACTTGGCTTTGACTTTGTGCTTGTTGTGGACACAGAAGGACTTCGGGCCCCTGAAATGAGCAACAAATCCAACAATCATGACAATAAGTTGGCAACCTTTGTCACTGGACTTGGAAACTTGACACTGATCAATATTTTTGGAGAAAATCCATCAGAAATGCAAGATATTCTTCAAATTATTTTCCAAGCCTTTTTGAGGATGAAACAAGTAAAAATCTCCCCAAGTTGCCTCTTTGTCCATCAGAATGTGGGGGAAGTTACAGCTAAAGACCAAACTATGGAAGGTCGAAGGCGCTTAGAGCAGAGACTAGATGAAATGGCAGCAACAGCAGCTGAGCAAGAACAGTGCTCAGGTGTAACTCACTTTAGTGATGTCATTAAGTTTGATGTCAATACTCATGTCTACTACTTCGCTCACCTCTGGGATGGCAATCCCCCAATGGCCCCTCCCAATCCTCGCTACAGCCACAACGTCCAGGAACTGAAAAATAGAATTCTTATGACTGCCAAACAGGAATCCAGGGGGAGCATCATGAAGATATCGGATGTAAAATCAAGAGTTCAAGATTTATGGAGAGCCCTGGTGAATGAGAACTTTATTTTCAGTTTCTGGAACACCGGAAAGGTCATGCCCATGAGCAAATTGGAAACCACGTATAACAGCTGGGCCTGGGAGCTGAGGAGTCATGTGCTAGGCTTGCAGAACCAGCTGATCAACCAGGTTCAGAATGGAAAAATCCAGACCCTCAGAGCAAGCACAATTGAGGCTCCAGTAGCAGAAAAATATGAAGCCATCAAGCAAGAACTTGAAAAATATTTTAATGAAGATCTAGAGAGAGAAATACTGATTCAGTGGAAAGCAAATTTTGAAAATAAGCTACTGATCCTTAAAGAGGCTCTTATTTTAGACAGCCAAAGAAAAGTTGAAGGACTTATTAATTATAAAAAGGGTCAGGAAAGGCTGGATAATGAAAAGGCACGTTATGAAAAGGAATTATTAGAAAAAAGCAGAAAATTGGCTTCAGAGGTAAAGGACAAGGAATTTAGTGAGGAAGAGTTATTTAAAAAATTCAATCAACTTTGGGAAAAATGGGTCTATGCTGTATCCACAACTCTCCCTCCAGTCACAGATCCTGACATTGATGTGGATTCTGAAAGCATCCTTTTGGAGTATTTTAAAAAGGAGAAAGGCATGGTGAACATACTGAAGAAAAATTCTGGAAAGAAATTTGAAGTCAATTATGATGAACATGTCACCATGAGCAAGAAATTACTCTTCTTTACAAAGCAATTAGAGGTATATGACAAAGAGTCCATAATGAGAACAACTGAGCACATTATTTCAAGATTTACTGAAACTATGAAAAATCTTCAGAGGCAACAACATGATTACAATCCAAGTTATTTCCATGAAATCCTGAGAATAATAGAAGAGGGGATGAAATCTGCTTCCTCTGAGGAAAGATACACATTTACAAATAAATATAAAATTGACTTATCTTTGTGTTTATTCCAAAGAGCAGCAGAGCATTTTAAGGAGATGCACAGGGTATTCAAAAGAGCAAATGATCCTGTAAACTATCTGGAAAGCAAGAAAGATGATTTCTTCATGAGTTTTAAGATCTCTTGTCAAGGAGCAACCTCAATCAAAACATTTGTTGATTTTCTGTGGCACAAACTCATTCCTGCTGTCTCCACTGCCATATGGGAAAAAATGGTCCCTCTAATTGCTGGAGAAATGCGATCTACATTCCCTGCATTCAATGGAAACAGAACTAACTTGGAGAAACACATTCTTATCTCTCTGGCAGAAAAAGAATATTTCAATGATTACTGGGAGTACCTTCATAATTCAGAATCATTTTTTAAGAATTATATTCAAAACCATATTAAAAGATATTGTTCAGACAAAAGAAGTGAAACAATGAAAACTTTTTTAGAAATATGTTTAGGTGACATCAAGAATGTTATCCTCTCAGCTATTCATGAATCCACAGCAATAGCTAAAGATAAAAGCAGCACTGTGTCTGAGTGGCTGGATTTGTTCTGTGATCACCTGGGAAGTAACTTGATCTTTCCACGAAATGACTTGATAAGCATTGAACACCAGGAGATAAGAGATATTGAGTTCCTCAAAGAAACCATGACTGAAGCTTTGGATCCCGCAATGAAGACAGTAGAAAACAAGTGTTTGAATACGCCTGTTGAAGATATTGTTCCTGAAATCGAGAAAATGCTCTCTGTACATCTCTGTGGCTGCTGGAAACAGTGTCCCTTCTGAAGAGCAATTTGTACGAACACAATCGCCACACATGACGGAGACCACAGTGTTCCCTTCCACCGTCCTCTGGCTGTCAATGGACGGCGATGGATTGGAACACAAGAGTTTATGATTGATTCCTGTACTAGTTTAGTAACAAGTGATTGTTATTTTATTTTGAGTGAGGACCACAAAATCGCATATAAGAACTATCGACAGGCAGGAGGGGACTATGCCACGTGGAGCATCACCCCAGACTCATCCACCCAGCCCTACTGGAAATGGTTTGTCTGTCACTTCAGATCAAACCTAGAAGAAAAATATGAGCAAAAATTTATAGGTAGAGGTAAAATTCCTGATCAATGGTTCAAAATCACAAAGCAGGATGTGCTTGATGACTTGAAAAAACAATAATACTCAATGACCCCAAGAGTACAAGAATGTGAACAAAAGAATTACAATACCTGAACAAAACTAAGATACTTCCTTCTCATGAGAACCTTCATCATTTCCATTTTTCAAATGAAACATCTAGAAATAAATCAATTAGCATTGCAAGAGTTGAAGATTTTCCTATGTCTCAATTCATTCTGGTTTAAAAACAAGTTACTAAAATATATGAGCATATGATAAAAATAAAATAAAATCCATTTAAAATACCAAATCCATATTTTAAACTACTATTCAGAATGTTCTTTTATTTTAAAAGATATAAAATTATATAAAGTCTCCAGAATTACATTTTCATATAGGAATCAAAATCATTGAAGCCTGCTATAGAAATCTATAGACTAAGTAGATGATTGTTCAAACCAATATACAGTTCTTGGCTGGAAGCTACAAGTGGCCTAAGTGGTTTGTTTTTACCCTCTGAAATTGTGAGGAAAATTTACTAACCCTTGAACGAAAAAATATATATAAAAGTCCATGATTCCCAAGCATCATGGTATATAGACAGACTCTGTTTTGGGAAACAATACAAGACACTTGACCAGGATAGAACCTACATCAATTCAGGAAACATTATCAAGCAAATATGGTAAATAGAAATCAAATACTTGTTTTTTCTCATCTAACCATTCCTTCTTCTTTCCTGGTATCTTGGCAGTTCCCTGTGCTGCTTTTAAAAAACATATGGTTCATAAGGGTTTAGACATTAAAAGCCTGGTGCTTTGTACTAATCAAAGAAGGACTAGCTTTTACAACAAGATGAAGGAGCCATTTTAATAATGGTTGTGGACAAGGTCTGATTTAATTATGCTATTAATGATTTTATAAACTATTCCTTCAAGAATAAAATGTCAAAGAGTATATATGTAGCTTTTAGGTTCTGATATTTCAATAAGAAATTCTTTTATGTATTATAATGGAAGGAAATGCTTATCTCTAAAACAGTCACCCTTGTGACTTTTTATGCTATTTGAGCCATAAGGTCATGACCAGAATAAAAATTTAAAATGCTCTGAAGCCAACCAAAAACCTGAGAAGGAAAAGCAATCGCCATT